GCGAACTGACCTGCCCTAGCCCAAGCCTCTGCCAAGGCTCGCCCGAGAGCCAATTTCCTTGGGAACCGATGAAGACCTGCTGAGAGGAGCAAGATTTTGAGGGAGACAGCCATGTAGACACTCGGTGGGAGATATGAAAGGGAACGCTCTCAGCATTTCCCCTGCAGCGTGGTGAAGAATCATGGTGATGCACGGTTTGTCCCTTGGTGCAGCTCATGAGAAGATGCAGCCATGGAGGACCCCACGTAGGAATTATGGAGAAGCCCACGCCGGAGCCGGGCAATCGTCGGGGGACTGTGGCCCCGTTTGGAAAAGGACTCAGACCGGAGAAGTTCTGGAGAAGGACTCTGCCATGAGAAGGGACCTCACGTTGCAGCCGGGACAGACTGTGAGGAGCCCTCCCCTGAGGAGGAAGGAGCGGGGACTGACTGCACCCCCCATTCCCTGCCCCCCTGTGCCGCTGGGGGGGAGAAGGTACAGAACAAAGCCTTTGGGCCTTGGAAAAGACGGGAGGGGTGGGGGAGAAGTGCCTTTCTAAGATGTGGTTTCTCTCTCTCAGTATCTTGCTTCTTGTTGTAAATAGTTAATAAATTCATTTTTTTTTGTTCTTCCCAAGTCATGTCGGTTTCTTGCCCGTGACCCTAAGTGGTGAGTGAAACCCTCCCTGTCCCTGCCTCAGCCCACCAGATGTTTAACAAAAACTGTCCCTGTGGCTCTATAAACCACGACAGCTGCTCTTGTTCTCCCTTTCCATAGCAGACCTTGAAGCCCTTGGCTTCTTCTCCTCCTCGTGACTTCTGATCATACACCTGGAGCTCATGGTTAGCAGCCTGGCAGTACACCCACCTTCCCACTTCTGCATTTCTGCAGCTGATGTGGGACTCATTCCCTAGAAGTATGATACCTTATTGCCATCCATTTCTCAGAGACTGGAACTATTGTTCCACATGTTTTTCCCTGAGACCTTGGACTATACAGGGTGAGGTTCCCTAATTTTGGCTGGGCAGGATTTGGTTATCAGGGGCTCTGTAATCCGGAAGGTAGATTTCTGTTCTCAGAGATTGTGCGGACAGGCTCTAGTTCTTGTTCCTAGGCCCACGACTATTGTCCACAGAGCCCTGTTACCTGCAGAGAACTTCGCCATACAAAAGCTGTTTTGGTGCCTGTTGTGCTTCAGGGCATTTGACCAGAAACAGAAGATGAAAACAGGGGCCCTGTGGTAGGGTTAAAGTCTGGTGTGGGGTGTGTCCCCAAGGAAAGATAAAGGAGGAAATATGAGATTGTGGGCAAATCTACTAGACTTAGATTTTTGCTTAAAAATGATAAAAGAAAGTCTAATAAGAAATTGTCCTGGTTTTGGCTGGGACATAGTTAACTTTCTTCATAGTAGCTAGTAAAAGGCTGTGGTTTGGTCTGTGCTGAGAAGAAGGCTGATAACATACTGATGTTTATAGTTGTTTCCAGGACAGTCAAGGACTTTTTAGCTTCGCATGCTTTGCCAGTGTGTGTAGGTGCACAAGAAGCTAGGTTGGGAGCACAGCCCCAGTTAATAACCTAGGGTTCGACCTTAGCTTTAGGTGTGAGACTCAAACTGGCCAATGGTATATTCCATATCATGCATGTCATGCCCAGTATATAGTTGAGGGTGTGTCTGGAAGGAATGTTTCTCACTCTCTCAGTCGGCATCCTCTCTCTCTCGGATTCTTGGACTCTTATCTCTTTTCTTGGATTGCAGTTTTGGGAGTCTCCCTGCTCCAGGATCATTAGCTGGGAATGGGCTGAGCCTTGATTATTGGGTCATGAGCAGTATCACTGTGTATCAATCATTTGTATATGTGTATATTATTATTATTATTATCATTATTATTTTCAATTTAATTGTAGTTTAGTTATTAAATTGATCTTATCTCAGCCCACAAGTCTCTTTTCCCTTTACCCCTTTAATTCTTTCGCCCATTCCCTGTGAAGGGGGAAGGTGAGTGAGTGCCTGCATGGTATGCACTGCCACGTTGGTCAAACCATGATAGAGACTTTAAAATTATATTTAAACAAAATAATATTTTAAGCATACAGATGTGTTGTCTGCCATCAGGTAATAACTTAATGTTTGTAGCAGGTGTACAAGCTCCTTTGTATGACTTGATACTGATTGCCAACTCAATGTTTTTGTGCTCTGAAGGGTACCTACAGCCTTGGAAATGACAATGAGCAGGATTATTCTGAAGCAGTGGCAGATAGCTTCCACTGGCTGAAACCTTTCTACTCAGAGAGCAACAGCTTCCTTGAGATCAAGGCCAGGAATGATGTGATGCCCTGTGATCAAGAGCAGGAAGTGCAAGTGGATTATATCCTCGACCAGAATAAACTCAGCTCTGAAGCAGACCATATTGATTTCTACTACTTGGTAAGCATAGAAGACAGCTGAATTTCAGGGCAAGATCATGCTTACTGGCATTTTATCCTTTTCACATACCACATAGTCAGTCACGGGAACGGGTAAGCTACTTCCAGGACAGTATATGTCAGTTTGTGACTTCTGTTCTGCCCAAACCTCCTCCTGTTTTCCAGTTCCTGGACCTGCTCCTAGCCCCCAGCTGCCTTGCCTTTATAGGAGTGGCTTGACCTAAGCTTGGGTGATGGATGTCTGCCATTCACCCTACTTTCTATTATGTTCACATATATGGCAGTGGAGGGCTAGCCTGGTTTCTGCCCAGCAGGTATGCCTCAGACTTCCATTTGTTTCTGTGAACTAAGAGACAAACTTTGGGGCAGCTGACCTCCCCTGGCCTGTATATGTACAGGAAAAGTCTTGAAATTGCACAGGGCCTTGATGTACTCCAAAGGTACATAATCATGTTTTGATGAAGTCCACTTTCAAGAAAGTGAGTCCAAAACAAGACTGTGACTACAGCATGAGAGGTTATGAGTATCTTGGTTAAGTGGGCTCATTTGTACCATCAAAAAGGACTGTACCCTAGTAATGTGAAGATTAGAGTTCACTGGGGCTTAAGAGCTCTTAGCTTCAGATGTAACTCTGCCTTTGTAAGTGACCATGTATTGTCACTGCCTAACAACACCTCTTAAGTCTCTTCCTAGCTTTGTTATCACCATCTCTCTGTTGCAGAGCTCTTTAGGTCATGTCCTGCCAGGGGAGCTTCTGTGACAACATCTGTCAGATGTCCTTCTCTCTTCTCTTGATCTTTTCCCACTCTCCTCATGGCATCACAGTTCAGGTCCCTGAATGGCTCTTCTCTTGGCTTTTCAGGTGATAGCAAAAGGCAAGATTCTTTCCAGTGGAGAGAAGCAGGTGCCAATTCTCCAGCATGAGAGTGAGTAGAATTGCATGAAGTGCCTCAAAACACAGCCCAGACAAGTGTGACTGTTATCCAGTAAGAACCTCTGCAAATGTTATTCTTATCCACAGGCAGGGGCTTTTGAACTGGCTTGGTCTAGTGGTCCACCTCACTAGACCAACACAATCTCCAACCCATATTAGTTTAGTGTCCTTCTAGACAACAGTCCTGCTTTATCTAATTGATCCAACCTTAGGACTTTGGTGGCAGCTTGTATCGTTGGGGAAGATATAAATTTTTTTTGTAGCTTGCCTGTGTATCTAAGGTGCCATAGGGAAGAGCCATATTTCTGCCAACCTTGAGCCAAAGAAGCAGCCAGTATCCTGGCTTTATTGTTAATCTGTGACAGTGTCTGTGTGAGATGTTCTTATCTGCAGGTAGAAATTATTAAATTCCCTCTTTTGATTCCTATTGTGTGGCCTACCCCAATGGGCTGATTCAATTGAACGCTTTCCCTCTCTTCCTTGCTGCTATCTTGTGCAGATCTGCAGGGTTCCTTCTCATTGACTCTGACTATTGGCAATGACTTCCTGCCTGACATCAAGCTGTTACTGTATGCAGTCTTCTTGGATGGAGAGGTGGTGGCTGATGTGGAAGAGTTTCAAGTAGAAGAGTGCTTTAGACACAAGGTGAGTAGAAACACAAGGAGTGCGATAGCGTCATTGATGTGATCTGGCCTGCTGTGGTTCCTGGACCTGTTTTATCCACAGCCAAGTGGTGTAAGCTGGACACATGCCAAACCAGATGCACAGTAGTTTTGGCTGGGAGACAAAACAGGTAACCTCTTCCCTGAATTCCTAGTCCTGCCCTCCCCAACAGCGACTGACAAGCCTCTCCCATGGAGCAAGCCAGGTCCCCTTGAACTTTGTTTTCTCCCTCCACTCTTCATGACTGACTTGGGGACACACTGTTCACCATGTTCTCCTTAATACAAAAGAGAAGACTGCCTGCTTAACTCCCTGTGGTAGCTCTGAATCTGAGGGTGGTGGATGTGTGGTGGTAGGGAAATTCTGTCTGGGTGGTATGCACTGCAGCCCCTATAACCTTCCCAATGGGTTTCCAGGAGGGCCTGTCTCAGCATCTCAGCTCCCTTGCCTGCTTTATTCTCTGTCTTTCCCTCTGCTGCCCAGACATCTAAGAATCACGGGGTCCCACTCTCCAACAGTAAGCCCCCTGACCCTGTCTTCTTTTACAGGTGGCACTGGACTTCTCACACAAGGAGGAAGTCCCGGGATCAAAAGTCAGACTGGACCTCAAGGCTGCTCCAGGGTCCTTGTGTTCTGTCCAAGCTGTTGACAAGAGTGTTCTCCTGAAGCAGAACAATACCCTAACAGCAAACGCAGTGAGTGAAGTCTGCCATGACCAACCCCCTAGTGTCTGCCTGCCTTCTATCTCCATGCATTGGCAAGAGGAAGCCCATAGTCCCAGGACACGACTTCAGTGTTAGATGGCTGTTCTGGCATTCCCCCTCCTTGGCCTCTTCTGAGCAGTTATGTGGTAATCATGTTCCTTGGGCATCAGCCCTGCACTGTGAGCCTCTGCCTGGAGAATGGTGGATACTGCACGGCACTGCAGGGGTAGGTGAGGAGAGCAGCTTCAAAGAGATGCTGGTGCTTTCAGCTTGGAGGGAGAGTGCTTTGCAGCTTTCCTCACATCCACCTTTCTTTCTGCTTTTCCATCTTCCACCAAGCAGTGAGGCTAAACCTCGGAATTTTGCCCCAGTAGGGTCCTCCTATCCCTCTGCACCAAATATTGCTGAATTATAACCATATGACAAATCAGGCTGAGCACCTGAGCAGTTATTTAGAAACCAGTAGCTAGAGGACAGCACTCAGTGTACACAGTGGCTGGTGAAAAGGTGGTTAGGATTTTGTCAGCACCCAGGTGCATTCTGAGAATCTAGAAGGGTTGAAGGAACTTACCTTAAAGCAGCTGTGTGATTCAGAGAAATGAATTTAAGACTTAGAACAAAAATACTGCAAGAATTTAAAATCCTAACATAATTCCACAATGTGTACCAGAGATAATAAACATACATATGCTTCATGCAAAGTTGTAAGTTAAGTTATTGCAGGCCAGACTGTTAAAAAGAGGCCTCACCAAATCCAGAGGGAATTGCTGCACCCGTAGACAGGATCCACAGTGTGACCTGTTATTCCATTTTACAGGAATGCTGTTCTAGCACAGAGCACTTGCATCATCTCCTAACAGGTATATAAAGTAGTGGTCATTAAATACATGTCAGATGTGCCAATGCCTTGTGCTCAAACTGAAACATGCATTTTTATCCTAATCTTGCACTCTAGAGTTAAAAGGCTTGAACTGTCAGAGGTAAAAGGCTGCAGATTAAAAGCTACTTGTCTACATCCAGTCCTTGGGCTTCATGTCTTTTAGTATAAGCTGGGCCAGTGCCAACTTCTTCAACTACAAATCTTTACCAAGTATAATAGAAGGCTACAATCCAAATATTTGACCCATACACATGCTTGTTGTCCAGTTCCTTATGAAGACCTCTGTTTTTCTATTGCAGCTGTATGAGAAGTTCTTTGATAATGGCTTTACAATTGGAGGGCGAGGGTTCCCTTATCACTTGGAAGACTTTGAGGCATACCCTTGTCTGCCCCAGCAGTCCAGTCACCACAAAAAGACTCAGATGGGAGCACCATGGTACCAAAGTGATGCTGACGTCTTTAATCTGTTTAAGGTGAGTGTCTACACTTTCACTAAACTTTCCCCGAGCCAGCGGTTGCCAGCATGCCATCCTGAATGCCTACAAGAATTTACTTGTAGCAAACTTCAGCTGTCCCGACTTTCATTACTACAAGTCATCTGTGCCTTGTTCTTCAGTGTAGCTACACTTATTTGGGGACTATGGGGAAAGATGAAACTTATGAGTAAGCATAGTGCAAACCACCTGATTAGAGAAAGACAGTGTAAAAATGAACAAATTTATTTTAGGCTACCATATCTACAAAGAGGGAGTGGCCAAGAATATCCCAGTAGACCTAAGCACCTCACCATATTTTGACTGATTGCCGCTCAGCTATTATTTTATTTACAGACCTCTTTACTCTGTTTCATTGAGTCTCTTCTTACTCTACTTTACTCCGCAAAGCAGTTTTAATAAAAAGGAGTCCATCACAATTTGACTTTATAGCTACCTGTCCAGACAAATGACAAAATAAGCTAATAAGCCAGAAAAAGATTAACAATGTGTCTGCTAACTGAAACCCGAGAAGCGATGATTCTGACAGAATGTTCTTTAAAGAAATATTTGCAAGTAAAATCACCTCAAAGGAGGAGAAGAGGATACCAACACACTGAAAACAACCCAAAATGTAGTCAGAGTTGCACGACCTTCTCAGGATGACAGAACTCTACCTTACAAATACAGACCCTGATTCTCCCCAAAGGCATATTACTGTGATGTCTTCTGGAAGCTTACTCATAGACTATGTCAGATGCTAGTTAAAGGAGATCTCACTATATCTCAATTATATCCTGTAACAGATGATCGTCCTGTATCATATGACTAAGTCTGCAGGCATGTACACCCTCTGTAGAAAGGGTGAGGGCCAATACTCTCCGTGAAGGCTTTTGCACTTCAAGAAAGCAGAAGAGTTCTCAGTAACTTGCAGACCATTAAATCAAAGCAAGGGTTGTTCACAGGATCAAATGCATTCTTTTGGTCTGATGATGTCTTCTCAGTTCATGCACATGAGGATACATTCAGTCCAATATTTCCACCTTGTGAAGCACAGGCCCTGAGTCTCATTCAGACAAAAAAGAAGAATCCATACTAAGTGGTGACTGAGTTCCCTATCCGTTTTCTAAGCCAGGACTGGTACTCACTTGTGCAAGAACAGTTGTGTGTGAACAGCCAGTCAGATCTTTCAGTTCTAAAATTGTGTAAAGATTTAAAGCTCAAAAATTTTTTTTTTCTCTGAAGTTTTTTCATGGGATATGCAGCATTTCACTCTGGCTCATTGTTAGGGTCAGGCATATGAAGGACAGATCTGTCTGATATTTACTTTTATAAGAAGTAATAATTGGCCCCAGTATTCCTCAGAAGCTGACTTCCATTCCTTGTCCACTGCCCAGAGCCTGAGCCTATAAGATCATGTACATGTATATAAACAAGCAGTGTTTTAAAGTCTTTCAGCTACCACCAGCCCTCTTATGATACCTGCTATCATGAGATCTTTTCAACATTCCTTTTTCCCTTTTATTTATCATGGATTTACTCTCTTCACTGTTTTCCCAGAAATTGCGCATGAAAATATTAACCAATACTAGAATCAAGAAACCAGTTTCCTGTATGCTACCAGGCTTTGAGAAAAAGATGCATTCTAGAAAAGACAGTATTGTTGGTAAGGAACAAACAAACATGTCCATCTCCTTGACAGATGGGGCTCTCCTCTCCCAGTTCTGGCCAGCCTGCAGCTGAGACATCTGACTTCCGTCCTGCTGTGTTTCTTGTTTCTGTATGAGAGGAACGAAGCTCGTGTCCAATTCAACGGACCTGATTTGTAAATCACAGATAAAAGCTCAAATCTCTGTGCTTTATTGGCTGTCCCTGTGTTCTGTGCTTTTTACAGAGAACGTAGTATGCTCTCCACCAGGACTTTCACAGATTATTTAAAAGAATATTACTCCATTTGAGCATGCTATCTCCTCTGGATCCAGACAAAACTTGCTGGATCTGTCAGATGAGCCTCAGGCTAAACTCCGTCCCACTCTGTCTCCCTAAAGCTGTGTTCCCCAAAGATACACACACTGTGTCAGATTCTCACTGAAACGGTAACCTGGGTTCTAATGCTAACACTCTTGTTCTGTGTCACAAAGCAGTTACACTTTGTGTTAGTTTGCCTGTGAACAAAGTACTAATTTCACCTGTGGCTAAACATGCTGTTTTCTGAGGTATCACTTGCTTTCCAGAAGACCATCATGTTGCCCATGGTGGTTCTGCACCTCGCTCTGATGACGAGAAGAAGCCAAAACCACGGACACTTTTCCCAGAGACCTGGATTTGGGATTTGATCTCCATTGGGTTGGTAACATCCTCTACCTGTCTTCCCCAGGGAGAACCCTGGAGACTTCTGATTGCTTCTGAGCAAGTTATCTCTCTCTTCCTGCTGTAGGGATGATGGGCAGGTGTCTCTCGAAGTTGCTGTACCTGACACCATCACAGAATGGAATGCCAACACCTTCTGTGTTGCTGATACTGGCTTTGGGTTGTCACCTCTGACCACTCTTAGGGTCTTCCAGCCTTTCTTTGTGGATCTGTCACTGCCATACTCTGTGATCCAAGGAGAGACTTTCAGTCTAAAAGCCACTGTCTTCAACTACCTCAAGGACTGTATCCAGGTGAGTATTCTCTCAATTACATGGCCTCTGTCAGAGCAAAAACTTGAGCTCAAAGGCAAGCTATGAGCTTGTCAGGACCCTTAGATACTGGCATCTAGGTCCCAAAGCACAGCAACGCACTTCGTGACCCATGGTATTTGCTCCTTTGTGCACTGCCTGTTACTAACCCTATACAAATGTGTGTTTGTACATCCCACCACACCCAGGTGCACACCACCCTCACAGAGACCCCAGAGCTAAAGGTGGATGACTGTCCAGGCTGCCAGTTCACCAGCTGCCTCTGTACCAATGAAGCAAAAACCTTTGAGTGGAACGTGAAAGCCACCAGGCTGGGTGAGGTTGAGCTGAGGGATGTGTGGCAACTACCAGGAAGAGGGTTGGGATTTGCCTGCCTCTGCATGTCTGGTCCCGATGCCTGTAGGTACACCCATCTGCTGCAAGCGCTCAGCAATGTTCCTCTGTGCTCCACATAGGCAAAGTGAATGTCACTGTGAGCAGCGTGGCAGAAGATTCACATGATCTGTGTGATAACAGGATTGCCGTGACACCTTTGCAAGGAGAGAGAGACACAGTGATAAAACCTCTGCTTGTGAAGGTTAGTCACACCTCAGGGTGGAGAACACCTGGTGACAGCAGGTTGTCCCGTGAAGCAATTAACAAGATGCTAAGAGGAAGTTTATCCCCTTCTTGGAAGCAGAGGTCTGCTGAGGCATGGTGATTTCCTTTCTTGCCTTCCCTGTCTAAACTACTCTTTCTCCATCTGCAGCCAGGAGGTGTCCTACAACAGAAGACCCAAAATGCCTTTCTCTGTGTTGCAGGTATGAGACAAAAATCCCTGACAGCTATTGATCATGAGAGCAGGATGGAAGGGATAGGGCTACCGCAAATACCCAGAGGTGGGGGGAGTTTGTCAAAGAGCAAGCTGGTGGCACCCTCCATGCCTGGGAGAACAACCACTACAGTTTGTCCATGTCTGTCTTCTACCTGGCAGTTTCCTGTATTGAGGCATTTGTTTGCAAGTCTCAGCTGCTTTGACTCAATGTCACACTGAGCCTCACATGGGTCTCCTTGGGATGTTACACTTGTGTGTGATACTTCTTCCACGGGATACATTTCTGGGTTCTGCCCTCCTCAGATAACACTGTCTCTGAAGAGTTCTCCCTGACTCTGCCTGAAAAAGTGCTGGAGGGATCTGGACGAGCCACCTTCTCTGTGATCGGTGAGAAAAGCTTTCCTTGCTCTTCGGTCCCCAGCAGGAAGAGCTTGCACAATACTTTGGCCTTTATGATGCATCAACCCAGTTCTCCTCATGAGGTAAACTGTAAGGGGTGTGATGTTGGCCTCAGAAATGCAGCAAGTAATCTTTTCCATTATTTATTCCTCTCATAAGGAATGATCCTGGGAGATCCCCAAATGGCTGGGGGAGAAGGCACAAAATAGGGTATCTCCTCTGATGTCTATCACTGCCATCTACCCAAGTGAACCCAAACCATGCTTGCAGATTTCCACCTAGTCTGCCTCTATAATTATTTTCTCTCCTTGATACACACTCAGGAATGACAGCTCTCTTTACCTTTCTTCAGATCACCTCATCTTCACATGTGCTCCCTCATCCCAGAACCATACATCTTCCCTTTCTATGCTGGCTTAATCTAGGAGGGGTCAGCAGAAATCTTAATCATCTCCATTCAGCGAGAGGTTGGCTCTTTTTCCAGAATCCCAGTAGAGTTTAGGAAAGGCAGCTGTCCCTTCATTCCATACTGCTTCGTTTCACACATATGTCTGTGCTTTTCCTTTCTCCCATCCCTCCACCTCAAACCTAAGGGGACATCATGGGCCCAGCACTTCAAAATTTAGAGCAGCTGCTAGAGATGCCCTTTGGCTGTGGTGAACAGAACATGGCTCAGTTTGCACCAAATATCTTCATACTTCAGTACTTGAATAAGACTAAACAACTGGACCCAGAAATTGAAGATAAAGCACTGACATTCCTGAGAACAGGTAAATGTTGTCCTTCTTCCTTCTGCTGCAAAACAAAGGTGCTATAAATCAAGAGTGTGGGGTACTGGTCTGCTGGGGAGGTGCAAGGCAGAGTGGGAGCACTGCCAAAAAAAGTCTCATAGAAGGAATAGCGTGTTTATGAAGAAGCAGGACTTCTGTCTCTGCCTGTTTGAGGTACTAAGCCTGCTTTTCTGGGAAGGGTGTGGTTAATTAATGATCACATTATGTGATGCCTGTGATTTGCTCCCTTATCAGTATGAGGCAGATGGAAGCCCCTTGCAGAAAAAGGGCATCAGCTGCTATTTGGAATAAAGAGTGGCCTTTGGGGACAGACAGGAGTTTGGTAGCTTAGTGTTCTCCCATGTTTTAGAACACATATTGGGGGCATGTTATTTCTGTCAAATACAATCTGAATTTAATACACTGACAATGTCTGTGTCTCATTTTGCAATGTGCCTCACATTCCAGCCTCCTGGTCTCCTTATCCTGCCGTGCTGCAAGCTCAGCAGCCTCCCATGGATAGGATTTCACTCTCTCTCCTTCCCCCTTTCCCTCCTTTACTCCAAATTGGGACCTATATCTGGGAGAAGGGGGCCTACACAAGAGAAGGGTCACAGCAGAGGGGTGAGATGGAAGGTAGACGTTGAGGCCATGTGGAGGGTGGAGGAAGAGCAAACAGATGCAGCCAGTATTCTGCCCTTAAAGCTTAAAGACATGGCCTTGTTGCTTTCTGTGCATCCCATAGAGAGTGCTTTCCTGACTCCCAACAGGCCTAAAAAACAGTGCTAAAAAACAAACAGGGTTGCATGTTGGTCCCCTCTAGGAAGAGCCTTCCTCCTCACTCCTATAGCTCTTTTTATTCACAGCAAGGTGCCTGTGAGGCTTCCCTGGGGCACAGGGAGACGTGACGTGGCTGAGCACGTCACTGTTCTGCAAACCAGCAGCACGGTGGTACCAGATACCCACAGCTCTTGCACGTAGCAGCTCTAGGAACAGAGCAGTGGCATGACACATTTCAGTGAAGCTGTGCAACTGCTGATGCTGTGGGATGCATGGGGAATTGTAGGGTGGTAGGTTTGCCTCAGTGTCTCTGACTGTAGGACTTGGTGAAGTTGCTTGCTGTGAAGCCTTCTTCCCACAGTAAGGATATAGTTTGAGATGCTACAGGCCCTCACATTGAGAGTTGTGTCTTGGCACCTGTCTTCATAGGTTACCAGCGTCAGCTGCTCTACAAACATGATGATGGCTCCTACAGTGCCTTTGGGAAAAGTGACAACCAGGGCAACACATGGTGAGTGACCAGAGTTGGTACTGTCATCCCAAAATTATTGTCCTTGCTGGTTCAGCTCCTGGCTGTGACATGGGATTCCTTTGTGCTCTGCCCACAGGCTGACAGCTTTTGTAGCCAGGTCCTTTGGACAAGCCAGCTCTCACATTTACATCAATAAGGATCATGTGCACAATGCTCTGCTCTGGCTGCAGAAGCACCAGCTGCCCAGTGGCTGCTTCCAGAATGTGGGGAAGCTCTTCAACAATGACTTGAAGGTATGGTTGCCAGATATGGGAGTGGGAGGAACACAGTGTGGGGTACTGGATTGCTTCCCCGCTTCCCCAGGCTCTTCCACGGTGCACAGTAGCACAAAGCAATGTCCCCATGGCCTAGTACAGCCAAGGCAGCTTCCCAGAGCAGAATGAAAATGCGTGGCCTAAAACAGCAGGCATTTCCTCTGTGTGAGGTTTTAATCTCTGCTAGGCTTTCTTAATTTTCACTCTATCCAAAAGGCACCGCGGCTAATTGTGCCAAGGCACTTCAGGGGTACAGGGAGAAATATTTTTATATTTCAGTGCTTGTCTAGAATATCCTGGTTGGATTCTCCCTTGTCTCATGCCTTATGATGCACAGTACTCTACAGATAGGCCTGACTATGTGCTCTAATATGGGATTATCTGAAGACACAGTTGTCCCCCCACTGCCCACCAAGTATGACTTCTCCCAGAGCTTGGCATCCCCAAAATAATTCATGCAGTGCAGCTGGAAATGCACCAAACTCTTGGTGAACATGCCCTAGTGCTCAGGTACCAAACAGTGTGCATGCAGTATGGCAATATTTGGGTTCACTGTCTTTATAAAGGAAAGAATAATCCAGACTGGTCAGATTGCAAAATTGCCCATATTAAATGCAAAGCAAGTTTAGTAAAGAAAACAGGGTGCTATTTTAGCAAAGCAAAGGATTACACTTTTTTTCTTAAAATTTGTATGCAGTACAAAATAAAAGCAGAGTGTACATGTAGACTGTTCATCCTCGTCTGACTTTCATTAATTTCTCATCTTGGGCTTTCTATTTGAACAGAACTTTTTAGAATAGGTTTTGCCCCCCACCCCTTACACTTCAAAGTTTCTGCTATTCAGTGTGAATGATGCTTCTCAGCATTTCAGCCCAACTTTCACATCTTATTTTAGATGTAGTCTTGTCTCACGTCTGAGGATGCAAGCAGAACTTCCAAAATCTGATGGGAAAAGAGGCTCCTGCGAGCCTGTTTACCCATATGAACCTGTAGCTTTCACAGTCAGTTGATGTAAACTTGCATTGCTTCTTGTATGCAAATCCTGCATCATAAAAACTTTGTTCAAGTGTCCAATTATAACATAATTAATAAAATAAATAGCTTAACAGTTTGCTTCATGCCCTTCTGTGAGAAGGCACACCTAAGCTGCCTGCAGAATATGGCTCAACACCAGTTTCATGATATTCAGTAAATGAGCCTGGAGTGCTTTCCTTCAGTGCCCACATGTTGAAGAGTGCCCAGAGGCATGCTGGATATGCCATCCATAAGCAGTTTCAGTGGCTACACAATGACAAGCAAGCAATGGTTGGCTTTGTCCCTTTACGATGTTTGTCTTTGTGACTTGCAGGGTGGTGTGGATGATACAATTTCATTAACAGCCTATGTCACTGCTGCACTGGTGGAGCTCCGTCTGGAGAAGAATGTAAGTCACACCCAAACTCTTGCAGGGCTTGGGAGCATACTCCAGCCTTCATTCCTCCCCAGGTCTGTGGTTTTAGGGAGTACCCAGCTTGAGTTGGTGAAAGGTTCTGTCACATCCCACCTTTGTACGCAATAAAGTAACTAGGAAATTTTTAACTCAGGTAAGGAGTTCTTAATATAAATAGCCTGATTTGCAGGGAAGCAGAGCATCTGACATTCCCAGCTGATCTCAGGGGAAACAATTGTTTATGAAAATCACTCAGGGCTTGGAGGGAGAGGAAATAGTTTTCATTAAACTGACCAATATAGCTATAAGGGAAAGAAAAAGACCACCTTTCAGGTATGCAACCTCCACTCCTTCAGACCTGAAATAAAAGCAGTGATCTTCAAGTCAGGTGCAGACTGTTGTAGCTAGGATGGGCTGATACTCCAGCTTTACTGGTACTGTTCTGAAAACAATATTGTACTTCCTTGGGAGCTGAGACCCAAATCATGCAGGTCTGACAGTTCTGAGCCAGCATGTTACCAGGCACTTCCTACAGCTGGATTCTCCAGCATATTAACAAATGTGATATGTCCAGTCACATCTTTGTTTTCAACCCACAGTGAGTGATGCTTTGTCCACTCTACTTCACATTCCACAGCCCTGAGAGAGATGCTAGCACTGGAATACATCAAGGATGTAGCTGGGATACTTCAGGGTTGGGGATGGATTTTCACAACAAAAACTGGTCAGAGGAAATTTACTGGGTTTGTATTCCTTTCTCAGAACACCATGCTCCGTAATGCCTTACGTTGCCTCAAGAATGCAACACTTGATAAGCCAAGCCTTTACATCAAGGCCTTGATGGCTTATGTCTTCACACTGACCAAGGACATGGAGATGAGAGAGCAGCTCCTGAAGAGTCTAGACAAGGAAACTGGTAGGTTGTTGCTGCTTAGAAGATTTCAGGTTCTAGAGATGAATGTGTTTAAGGCCCAATATCTGTAGGATTTAATTGCAGTGGTTTAGGAAATTTAACTTTTCTCAGATTGGCTCTTGTGTCAGAAAATCATAATTTATTGAAGCTGTGAAAATCTCTAGTTTTCTCAGACCCAGGAAACAATTTCTAATCAAAAGCAGCAGAGGTGATCCATGCTTAATTTGTGTGGTCAAAGTACTCACTTGAGTTATGGTGCTCCCATCAATCTTCATCAATTCATATGTAGTACAAGAGATCTTGCAGAGGAAACTTGCCTCACTATGTCTATTCAGCTGCTGGTCAGGGCATTTACTTGCAGAATTCAAACCTTTTGACTGCTTCCCCATCGGTGCTCTACTCAGCTAAGGGCCCCTTGGGTGGATGCATCTTTATTGCTGTGCTGCTGAGCTTGGTTCTTCCTTTTGTCTCTTGAACTTGTAAAAAACTGGACTTCTATCCTAAATGACAATGCCAGGTGGGGGTTTCAAAGCATCTATGCCTATTGTTAAACAGTTGGTAACAATATGACCTGATTTGGCTTAAGTAAGTTCTTCCCTGCATCTGTTCATCTGGCAGTATGGTGAACTACATCAGGGACTGAAAAATAACACAGAAGAAAAAAGAGAGGATTTTTCAGCCTGACCAGCTACCAGTGCAGTTCACTGCATAGCCACTCAAGCTGCCCAGCTGGCTTCACAGGGTGGCTAGCGGGTGAACTGGAAGGAGTAGAATTGCACACACTGAGTGCAATACTTGTTCAGAGCTGCCCCTGAGAAAGTAGATCTGGAACAAGTGACTGGAGCACATCTTCATTGATGTCCAGCCAGTCTGATGCTTTTAACTTAATAAACACTTTGGAAAATGTCTCCTTAAGGCCCTAGGGCATGCAGCACTTCAAACTGCCTATAGGTCAACTGACAGTTTTCTTTGGCTCTTGCTTCCTCTGATAATAGCTAGCAATGACTTGGCAAGAACAATGGAGAAGTAAATGAGAGAAAGGTATTCTCCTACGTGTTCAAATGTGTCTGTGTTCTGCCTGCTGAGTCTGAGGATGTGACTGCAGTGACCAGCTGCAGTCAGATTGCCTGCTGGAGAGTCTCTGCCCGACAGGATTATCTTCTGCTGGATAGAGACACCTTCCGCGGTCTGGTGGCTGGGATTCTGTTAGCCTCGCTAACAGGATTACAGTAGCATCTCAAACAGGAGTTTGGTCCTTTTTAAAGAATTGAGGTTAATCTGTAGGTCATCTGTAACTGCATCTCCAAGAGACCACCTACCACTTAATGAAAAAATTGTTGTGCTTATGTCACCTTGGAAGTAAAAAAATCACAAATTCCTCATGCACATTCCCTTGTGATAAACATAATGAAGTAATACCAGTCTGTAGAGTCCCTGAGCTAAATTCTAAAGTCTTTAAGCTGGTTTTATGCAAATAAATGATTTTGTGATTCTTATTTCAAAAGTGAAGGTTTCTTCTGAAAACTGACTTTGATTTTAAAAGCATTTCAGGTTTTTGCATTTGTACCATTGCAGAAGATGTCTACACTGGCACAATTAAGCTAAATTGTTAGCTGAATTTAGGTTAGCCCCCTACTATCATTACAGCAAAACACTCAACCAGACTCAGATGCATTCAGTGGCCGTAACCTTGGACCATAGGTGGGAGCCCAGCTCTAGCTTAAATTGTCCTAACCCATGCACTACACAGTGAGGATGCCAACAAAATAAGTTGGGTAGTCTTGTTCCTCCTGTAGCCTTCCAGCACTTCTCCCTCAAAGAGTGACTAATTCTTGTACAATAGATATAACTGACTGGAAATGAGTCTTAGAGCTTTGCAGCACAGGTTTGACTATCCTAGGTAAATGCAGAAACAGCAAAAATGATGTAGTTTGGAGACAAAGCTTTGAATATACACAGAGCTGAATAAGCTAAGACTGTGCTTGAAACCAAAAAGCCTCTGTTCAGAGTCAATCAGTTTCTGGTTGACAATTTGGGGCTTGGATCTCTCTGTGCTTTCAAAGGAAGAAATAGGGCCTGTCATAGATGGCTGGTCCTTCGGAGTACAAAAACAGGAGGGATTGGCTTCTGCACTCCTGGGTGCCCCAGAAAGGCACAGGCATTTCTGATGGTGTACAGGGAACTACCAGTCCCCAAGGGGTATCAGGGCAAGAAAAGCTGATGTTCAAAGGGATCTACTGTTCTTCTCTTCTGCATGTTTCTCCTCTATCAGCAGAGCTCCTGACATCACATTCCAGTAGTGAAGAATCTTCTTCTTCTGTGATTGAGACAGTAGCTTACATCCTCCTGGCTCATATCTCCAAACCAGACTTGGGACACGATGAAGCCTCAGTGAGCAAGCTTGTGCACTGGCTCAGTGGACAAAGAAATGCCCTTGGTGGATTTGCTTCCACACAGGTAACGAGCCAGGGAAAGTCAAAGAGGAAGGAGAGAGATATTGTGCCTTGAGTGATCCACACACGTCTCTTGTGCGTGTCACTCTAGATCCATCCTTTGCAGACAGGCCCTGCTTGGGAAGGGGAATGTCATGGGGAAACCTTTTTTCTGTGTGGTGTAATTGGGATCACCCAGGACCTGAGACTGCTAGCCCCAGGGCTCAGAAGCCACCCTTTCCAGATAACAGAAGTCATCCTGCTGCCTGTGCACTTAGTGGCATAGACCCCACTTGTGTAAGAGTGTGAATCAGGGCCGTGAGGTGTGGGGTTCTCCCTGCAGTGCCTGACTTAGTGTGCTGGATCTTGTACCGCATTTCTCCATAGCAAAGTGACTCTCTTTCTGCCTTCAGGACACAGTTGTTAGCCTCCAGGCCCTGGCTCAGTATGCAACCCTGATTCCTCAGGAGATGAGAGATGTAAAGGTGACAGTGAAAGGCAGGGAGGCTTCTCCATTGGAATTCCATGTGCACAGAAACAACAAGTTGGTCCTCCATCAGGCATCTCTTCCTGCAGTCCCAGGGATTTACACTGTGCAGGCAACTGGCAGTGGCTGCGTTTATGTACAGGTGAGTACATATATAAGCTGTCAGGTTTTGCCACTGACTATTCAAGTGGGGTTTTGCTCTAAGCAGGCACTATAGCCTCAAATTCTAAGTAAGATTTGGCTTGCTAGGCAGAATCATGTCAAGCTTGAAGGAGCTTGTGTATACTCTGTTGACATGGCCTTATTGCAACCATCTATGGTATCTTCTCAGAAATGTCTCAGCTTTGCTCTCCCATGCTACAAGTGCCATGTCACTGTTAAGAGATCAGTAGATCTGAAGTCAGGAGTGATGAGATACAGAACAGTACCTGCTTCTACTTCAAACATATGTTGTTGATGTCACTGCTTCAGAAGCTGAGCATTATATATCTTCTGAAATAATATTCTTCGGGCTGTTATCACATGCAGAGATGAGGAGTGATGTAGGCCCAAGGTCTTCTTACCCCAGCACACATCACAACTGGTCCATCAGGAAGAACACATCTTATTTTTATGGCAGCTTTTATAGTGGTCTGCTTATGAGCCTTTCATGCAGCAAAGAACTGCAGAATCAAGTCACTCCCTGTGAAAACCTCCCTCACTGGGTCACTTCTGTTCAGCCATCTCTCTTACGATGTTCACAGAGTATATGTAAGCAGTGTATAGACAAGAGGAAACAACAATTATTTATTGCTAATGCATGTAGGAGGTAGCTAGGATTCATACTATTTGGTTACACTTGAATATAGTATTTGTCGGTATTTTTCCTCTTGAGAAAAGAGTTAACAGTTACACTTCTTTCTCCTTGTGAGCAGGGCTTTAGCTAATGTAGTTTCCCACACCTTAACAATATTTTTTTGTTAAGGAAGCCTGCACTGTCCAGGCATCTGGCATTATCTCTGTAGTGTGAACCTTAGGTTTCCTGTGTCAGAGTCTCAGGCATCGAAGTTAAAAAAAATTAATAATTTATTAAATGGTACAGCAGCAGAGTCATCTCAGGCTTGGTGCTTCCAGAAAGGGACCCCTAGACAAAAAATTCTGGGGCAATTATACCCTTACAGACCCTTCACCCTCCCCTCACGTGCTGTTCACATGCCGTCCATGCGTCTTTTGGTCCAACTATAATTTTCAGTCTGGGGTCTTCTAACATCTGATTGGATTTTTTCTCTGTGTCTAGGCCAGTTGTCACTTGTTCTTATCTTGACAAGTTGCACCTGCTGTTGATGGTTGTAGCCTTGAAGCCTCTGTATCTTCTAGTCTGTGTTTTTTTGGCAGAATATGAGAAACCGCAAAAGTCCCAGACTTAGGATAAAAAGTTCCAGACTTAGAATAAATGCTTATCCATAACACTTAACCGTAACCAAAACTTCAGTGTGTTATCTGCATTATTCTCACACTAAAAATACCAAAACACAGTGCACTGTACCAGCTGCTAAGAGAAAAAACATACCTAAGTGGAAATTCACAGCTTGCGGCCTTAGGCTTCAAAAAATCTAGATACTCGCTAAGTAAGCAAAACTCAGTAAATAGCATACTAAATCACATAATCTTACAACTCTAAGTGATACATTCTATTTAAAACTTACTTACTTAAGCTAATCAACTAATATTTTTTAACATTTTTTCAGTAAGATTGAGACAATGTTGTACTGACTGAGGCCTTGGATCACAGATAGCTGAGCCTCCAGGCTAAGGGTGACATTTGGTGGATGTACCTGTCACTATGTGCTAAGCATTGCATGTCTGAACAGAAAGCACAGCTCAGGCCAACTATGTTAACCGCTGGTTACCAGTTCGTTCAAAGCTGGAGGCACAGGTAGTCCTTTGGCTCATATAGGGAAGCTCTGAGGCACTTCACGGAAATGTTTTCTCCTCCACCAGACCACTCTGTACTATAACACCCCACCACCAAGAACAGAAGAGGTGTTTGTCCTGGATGTGGAAACAGTACCAAAAGAATGTGATGGTGTCAGGAAACAGCTTGACATCCATGTGTCTGTCAGGTATGAGATCCCTTGAGGCTCTTTCTTCAGTGGAAAGAAGTGGGAGCCCCAGTAGTAAGACCAGAACCCCATAAAAACCTCCTGTTTGTGGAGACAAAGACACAGGGGCAGTGTTTCTTCTTCTCCATAGATCCCAAAGAGATTGTGAACTGAGAAGCATGGGAATGCACTGGCAGTGGCTTGCAGAACCACAGCAACTATCTCACTCAGCATGGAATGGCTCAGCAGCCCCCAGAGCAATAGCAGCTGAGATGGCAGCGTTCCCAAGAGCCAGAGCTCTTCCCTTGGGATACACTTGGCAGTCTAGGCTGAACCAGCCCTGAGGTGCATTCTCCTGCAGCGTGAACCTCTGCTGGAACCAACTGCAGGAACTTCAGTTCCTATCCACATTTCACTCGCCTGCATCTGTCTAGGACAAGTGTCTTTGTCCATATTCTCCATGCCGTACTGTTCTGAAAGAGAACAATGCCAGTGTTGCTGCTCTCAATCTGTAACATCAGGGATCACTTCCACCTGTTGGAGAGGGCAGCGTGAACTTTAACCATAACACATTTGCTGCACAATCTGTCTCCTTATTGAGCAAGTAGATGGAGGAATTTTTTTTTTCCTTTTCTCCCATCAGTTAGACAAGTTGCTGAGCTTTCACATCATTGTAGAGCAGGCCAGAGTTTGCAAGTGTCCATTAGTATCTCCTAGAAATGCTGTGATGCCTTCCACATCTAATGTGCTTCTTTCCTGCCTTTTTTCAGTTACCTAGGGGACCGTGAGACCAGTAACATGGCCCTGGTGGAGGTGGAGATGCTGTCAGGGTTCATTCCTATGAAGAGCTCTGTGAAAGCAGTAAGACTCTTTCCTCTGGCTTTCCCTGAAGATATGAAAATTTGTTTTCCAGATATAGCTCAGACAGAAATACCCAATCATCTAAGAACCACTGGAGAATGGTAGCTACTTATCTTACTACAAGTTAATTAAACTAAACAAGTGCAGATACAGTGGGCTATTTCAGAGGGCAACTTTCCACTTGCAGAACTGATTGTGCAGTTTTTCATGTTCAGTAGTGAGGATCACATATGCAGCAAGAGGTTAGAGAGGAGCTGAAAAGCTCCTAGTTAGGACCATCTGGGGTACACTGAGACCATTTGCTGTTGCCAGTCATTTGTAGGGACAGTCCATAAAGCAGTGTTGAATCCTAAACAGATAGCCAGATATCCATCATAGCCTCCTACTAACCATCTTTCCCTTTGCTACAAGTGCTGAAAGTAGGAACTCAGCTCAAGGACACTTATTCTAAATCTGAAAAAATTAATTTCTAAGGCTTTGCGTGCTCCCAACAATCTCAATGCCATTATATATACATACATAAAGCAAAATGCTTCAGTCAGCAGTGGTTCACCAACAAGTAACAAACTTGGTGTGAGACTACAGGGAAGGCCAATGAGCTGATGCTAACCAAGCTTATATCTTGTTTTCCTGTACAGCTGGAGAAGATACCTCTGGTGAAAAAGACAGAGATAAAACCAGACAAGATCACAATCTACTTGGAAGAGGTAAGAGGAAGACTACAGGGAGCTGCCCACTCAACTAGTAGCAACTGCAGTACTTTGCGTTGTGACTCTCAGAGATCAGAAATACAAATCTCTAGGCTGGTCAAGCAGGCTAAATTTTTGTCAAAAGAGGAAGAGGGTGGAAAAACTTGAAAAGGTAGAGAAAGAAATTTCTGATGCAGAGGGAATACAGTTGGTATGTAAGTGACTTTGAGATGGCCAGTGTGTTTCTGCTCACTTCTGTTCTTGTCTCCAGCTGGGTGAAACTTCTCTGAAGCTTAACATCTCAGTGGAACAAGATGTTGAAGTGCAGAACCTGAAAGCAGCAACAGTGCATGTCTACGACTACTATAAGCCAGGTGAGATTTCACTGGCATAGGCAAAGAGTAACTATTATACCCCCCACTCAGACACAGTTCTGCCTATTCCCCTTATCTCCCTAGTTCCAGAGCACTTCCTCCTGCAACTCCAAGGTTGGGTTTCCTCTGTACAAAACTTCTACATTCAAGTAGAGGAATCACTTGCTTTTCTGTTCTTGAGATGAGACTGCCTGGCACTATGATTATGTTATGGTGTGTATGTGTTCAGAATGACTCTACTTTTTTACTTCCTCTAGCTTCAAGTTATGTCTCTGTGGAAAGAAAGCTTCTTTCAATTTACCGTATCTTCTCCAGTTCCTTAGGTCTCTTGAAAACACTTAGGCATTTATTTAAAATCAGTGTTACATACTGCCACCCTGATCTACCAGAAGGCAGAATTTAGTTCTATGTTTTTCATGTATAGTGTAATAATACTACCATCCATTGGGTGCTATGATATCTCAGAGGATAATAGGAAAATAATGTCTTATCCTTTAAAGCTCTAAATAAACTATCAGTACACAGAAGAGAGACTTGGAGTCATTGTGAGTCTCTCTGATTATTCCGTGCTCAGTATGAGCCAAAAAAAGCATCTGGAACATTAAGAATTATTTTAAAAAAATAATTTGAGAACAAAATGAAAAAACTACGACTGGAGATTTAGAAAGCAGCACCCCAGGCCTACTATTTTATACTGAATTCCATTCTTGTTCCCCCTTCCACACAATGTCAAGAAGAGAAAGAGACTTCTTAATCCAGCCTTTACAGAGATAAATATTGTCCCCTAATATGCTCTCTCTTTGCTATTCCATCCTGTACAGGAATTTTTGTGCTTAGTACATACAATTTAAAAATTGTTATCTTACATAAAAATACTAATTATCAGTAAAAAAGCAAGGCTATCAGGACACACTATTGAAACGTTCTCTATATACAAAAATGTCCTTGCATTAGAAGGTATCGCAATGCATAAGAGGGTCTTTTACAGCTGTACTGGAGACATGCTGGGGAGATAGACTGTTGGTCTGACCCAATGTAGACATTTTTCTTTCCCTGCTTTCACAGTCTGAAGAGTAAAAAGTTAAGGTAGTGGGATGGTTGTGCTAAAGAGAAATAAGCTTGACATTACCATACCATGCACTTCTGCAGCTCACCACCCTTTCTCTTTTGTTTCTACAGATGACTGCACAGCAAGAGACTATGTTTTCCCCTGCAGTTCAGGTTAGTGTTAACAGGCTTCCAAGGTGGGAACAGCTGAAACAGAGCAGAGGACTGGTAGTAAGCAAGCAAAGCAGCCCAGCTCTGCTCTGTATTTAATTCCATCACGTGCTGTAGAATCTTCTTGGACTGCAGGTTGAATTGGGATTTAGTGTACTAGTTGTGGGTACAGTTTCTAGTCCAATTATAATGTCAATGTAGATCAAGGCTTGAGCATACCAAGGACAGTTAAAAGGAACTATTTTTATTCCATTTACATACACTCCTCAACATGTGCAGTCCTTGCAGCATCCCAAATCTGAATGCAACTGGAAATGCCTATGTCAATGACAAAAACACTATGCAACTCATCCCCTAAGATCTTAGTCCTTAGATATCTTCCAAAAGATTCATCAAGCACTTTGCCTTTTCTTGCTCTTTCTTTCCACAGATGTCTCTAAGAAGGGTTTGTACTAGAATGCCCTGGCTCTGCAACCAATAATCTGAGTTTTCTACTTCCAAAAGGAAAACTTCATTGCTTTGGCTCTCCTCTTCCCTGCTGTGTTGGATGCACCCTGTTTGCTTTTATCTGTGCCCTAAGTTTCTATGTGAAACATGGCTTGATATACAGTATGTGGGATCAAATCAAATAAAGTGTGTGGAACCTGGAAAGAAAGCAGTGACTTGACTAGTTGATGAAGTCAGCACAGATTTCAATGCCTGAAAAAGAGAGCAACATTACTTAGGTCATGGTTACATACTTTGCATTTGGTCACCATAGTGCCTTAAGTCTTCCTCTCCTACCCACGTCCCATCTCTGGGCTACCTTCTCAATTGAGTTAACACAACAGTTTGTCTGCAACAAAACTCAAGCATTTTTAAGGCTGATTTGGTTCACTATGTGGACCTGTGAATTATTTTCTTGTCACAACTGAAGAGTAGGAACAGGCAAGGGGAGGCTAAGGAAGAATTACTCTACCAGTTCTTCCAGACAGACAAAGACCATATAACAGTGCATTATGAAAGGAGGCCATGATGCTGAAATAACATCCCCTTCAAATTCACTACATGTTGTGTGGCCTCTAGTTGGTTTCCATTTCTTATGTCAAGAAGCAGTATTTTTGAAACTCAAACAGGGCATGAACCTGCAGATCTCACTTTCAGATTTCAGTTCCATTAGATCAAGGACTCCAAGATTTTCTTTCAATGCCTAATGCTTTAAAAGCAAGCCTGCCAAGCCACACAAAAGAAGGGTTAGATCTGGATGTGTTTGTGGGGCTGTTTTTTTACGGCTGGTGCTTCCTTTTTTTGGAAGCAAACATTTGTAATCTCCTTTTAGTGATTCAGTTGCCTTTCATAAAGAGAAATAGCAATATGAGGCAGTGATGAACTCTGTGTGCATGCAGGACATGCAAAGCTGAAGTTGCTGTAGAAGTTTAGTGCAAACACAAGACATTAATAGATGTTATCATGAAGTGAGCTGTCCATGATCTTCCTGAGGTTACGGCAGTTTCACCTTCCTGATGACATGGCAAATGGAGTATTGATATTCTTACAGCCTCCTCTAAACACCTGTATTGAAGAAGGGGACCAAGCAGCTAGCTAAGACGACCTCAGAAAGCTAGCAGATGACGATCACATGCATATAATATGGTATATGGTAGACTAACACCTGTAGGGTTGCTCCAGCTGTGGATCTGAACTCAGCTGGAGACAAGAAAAAAGATCCTGCAATCCTGTATGCCGTTGAATGTACTGGCAAATTCAACTCTTCTGTCTGGTGGGGGCTGTCATGGTTTCAACCTAGTCAGTGGCCAAAATGGTGAACGAGTAAAGGGAAAAGACACTTGTGGGTTCAGATAAGAACAATTTAATAACTAAACTACAATAAAGTTGAAAGTAGTAGTAGAAGTAGTAGTAAAAATAATAATATAATAATAATAGTAATAATAATACCATATGAGTGATACACAGCACAATTGCTCACCACTCACTGACCAAGGCCTAGCCCATTCCCAGCTAATGATCCCAGAGCAGACAGAGTCCCAAAACCACAATCTCAGAAGAGAGAGTGCTGACCAAGAAAGTGAAAGAGAGAGAACTTCTTGCCTCCCTCATCTATATACTGTATACTGGGCATGACATTGCATGATATGGATTATACCATTGTCCAATTTGGGCCTCAGTCCTAAACCTAAGCTCAAATCCTAAACCACTAATTGTGGGTTATGCTCTGGTTATGCTCTCTCCCAGCTTCTTGTTCATCTGTACACCAGCAAAGCATGGGAAGTTGAAAAGTCCTTGACTGTCCTGGCAACCACTAAAAACATCAGTATGTTATCAACATTCTTCTCAGCACAAATCCAAAACAGTCTCATACTAGCTACTGTGCAGAAAGTTAACTCTATTCCAGCCAAACTCAGGACAGAGGCTTGCCCACCATTTTTACTGCTGGTGCTTGAAAATTGCAGTGTGAGTGAATTCCCTCTGTACACACCAACTCCTGATTTACTGGGAAAACAGCCAAGGAGTCCAAAAAGGATGAATACTCATTATGTACCCTAGCTATGAAAGAGGGTGATGGCAGCATCCCAGGCTCAGAGAGAATTGGACATACCTTGATAATACTTTTGGGGCTCTGAACGGTGCCATGCAAGCAAAACAAAACACAACAAAAGAAAAACAAACAAAAACCAACCCCCAAAACAACAGTGGAAATTCCCTTTACTGGGCTAAACCTAACCAGTCCTGACCCAAGAAAAAACCTCCTCCATCCACTTCTTTCCCTCTCTCCCTCCCTCTTGGAAGTGGGGATCCTCCGGCAGGTGGGGAAATGAGGAGAGAGGAGGAGAGGGGGAGGTCAGGGACTTGGGTCAGGTGGACTGTGTGAGAAGGTACAATGGGGAAGAGAGACAGAGCCCTCTTTGGTGAGTGGGGACATTGAGATGGAGGTCTAGGTGTTGGGGGACCCAGGGGCACAGCAAGACCCTGTTTCACCCACCCTGCCTATAAGGGCAGACTCCTCTCACAGCCCTGGTTGCCAAGCTGTCCTAAGACCTCTGCCTGGTCCCAGTGTCTGTGCCTTCACCACCACCCTGCACCCCCAATTCTCCCAATCCCTTCCCTCCTGTTCTCACATGCCTCATTTTCTCCTTCCCTCCATCACCTGCACCAAGTTCCTCTCCCTCAGAGTGCCTTCTTCTGCTCTGATAGCCACTAACACTCCCACAAAAGCTCCTTTCTTTCCGCTCCGAGACCTGCTAACACTCCCATGAGGGCTCCAGCTCACCTCCTAGTCCTGGGACACCCTCTCCTCTGCCCAGTAGTGTTCCTTGTCAACCCCTACATGCAGCCAAGGGGCAATTATTACTGGTTTTCCGCTTCCCCTCACACTGCCCTGCTCCTCCACTGCCCACTACATAACCCATTGCCCATGTGGCCTGCTTAAGCTGCTGCCACAGCTGCTTGTCCCAAGCGCTTTTGTTCCCAGAAAGGTCCCTGCCTCCTCCAAAATTCTCTGCCTGCCCAAGCATTCTGTTCACTCCTGTGTTTTTTCTCCCTTCACTTTAATGGTTGGCAAATCTGTCTTTTCCTAGTTGACCTAACCCTCCCGTCCCCTACATATGCCTCTTTCCCATCTATGCAAGGCCCCTGCTTACTCTTCCTCTTGTTTTCTAATCTGCTTTTCTCTTCTCTTATTTAGTTACTTTGTATTTCTCCATGTCCCCTTTAGGCAAAGAAACTTTTCACACATAGTGTGCGTTTCTGCAGTTGGTGTCCTTTTCATTGTCATCTCTCTCTGTGAATTGTAGTGGTTCCCTTTTTTGTTTGCTTTGTTTGTGCACTCAGGCATCCCAAAGTCCTAACTACAACTTCTTTGCTCCTGCACCACTACTCAATGTTCATCTTTTTTCTTTAAACAATCAGAAGTGACTGTCTCTATAGATGTGATTTGTAGTATCACTCTCCTTTCCTCCCCTCTTCTTTTGGAAAAATGAAGAGCCAGCCACATAAAAGTGTATGGCCCTTCCTGTTTCCTTTGACGATCATAATCTCCCTGTCTTGGACTCTGACTTACCTGACCATTTCCCATAAAACTGGGTTCAGTTTTCCCATTTCAACTGCCCATGCCTTCTGGATGGGTCATTCAAAAGTCTCAGTCACTGTGCTTGTTGAGATCTGGCAACACCCAGTCCCATCCTGTTAAGATATTAACTCAGATAGCTAATCCTTACCTGTGGCACTACCGAAATCATATAACAATCTGAGCAATTTCAGGATACAACACACGCAGTAGCAAAGTAGAGTGTGTGCAGATGGCTCATCAGGATATGCAGTGCCATTAGCAAGGTAGCACACATAAAAGTGGGATACTAGATAAGAAAAAATGGGTACTAGTTTTATTAAGCTTATTACCAAGAGAGACGTTACCAGGGCAGTAATTCCATAAATATGAAGTGCGCCTGAGAAGTTAACAAGCCCAGGACCAAATGGACAAAAAGTGAATAACATGGGCTGAGGGTCTGGGAGGTGACGATCCTTCTAAAGAAGAAGTACCTAGGAGAGAAAAAAGGGGGGAAAAGGAATGTAAAGTGAAGCAAATCATGCGACCAGGGTTGCTTGGGGAATCCCTGTGTAGCAGGCCTCTGCCTGATCAACACAGCTTGCAAGAGGACTGTAAATCTATTTTTTCTCTGACCATTCAGAGCAATTTCTCCATAAGGCCAGCCCTTCTTCCCCTACTTGTCATTGTTCTTTGGGGCTGTCCAGCAGGGACAGGAAAAAATGAAAACAAAAATCTCACAGCATTGCCTAACAAGCATTTAGGAGAGATAGAAAACCTGAGGAATCAAGTGATTCTGTGGACAACTGATGCAAAAAGAGGCTGAGTTCAAGTGAGCAAAACTATGAAGGAACTGGAAGATACCTTTAAGGAGTGTTCCCCTAACACTGCTCCTTCCAAAGATGTTGTGGAAGTCAGTAGGTACTGTTTGATGGTACTCTACCTATGGACAGGAAAGGAA